AAATAATACTTGTCGAGAAGCTTTGTGATTTGGACTTACCTAACTGTGTAGTAAATTGGATAATTGATTTTTTGTCCAACCGTTTTCAACGAACTAAACTTGCTGATAACTGTCTTTCTGAATGGGGCTCAGTTCCTTCTGGAGTCCCACAAGGAACAAAGTTGGGACCGTGGTTATTTTTATTGCAAATAAATGATTTAGTTCTTAACAACGATATAAATTCCCTTTTGTGGAAGTACGTTGATGATACAACATCTTCAGAAATCGTAGAAAGGGGGTTTCCGAGTTATTCACAAAACATAACTGATAACGTCGCCCAATGGTCTTCAAATAATAAACTGAAATTAAATGATGAAAAATGCAAAGAATTACGGATATGCTTTGCAAGAAACCAAGAAAACTTTCAACCGATTCATGTATACGGAAAAGAAGTGCAAAAGTGCTGGGGGTCACAATAACTAGCGACCTATCGTGGAATGTTCACATAAATAATGTTATAAAGAAAGCAGTTAAACGGCTATACTTTCTTGTGCAATTGAAAAGAGCTAAACTATCTCGAAAAGATCTCGTGCTCTTTTACATTACATGCATTCGATCTGTTTTGACTTATGCAATCCCAGTATTCTTCTATGCTTTACCGAAGTACCTCCTAAATGAATTGGAACGTTTACAAAAACGGGCTTTATCAATTATCGACCCAGGAATAACGTATCAAGAAGCCCTGTTGGAAGCGAATATTTCCACCATTATGTCATACGGTGAAAAAATATGTAGGGATTTTTTTTACCAAACTGTGAATGATAAACATAACAAGCTGAATAAACTTTTACCCCCGATTCATGAAAGAGCTTATCAATTAAGACAAAATAGGCATTTTAAAATCCCCAATTGGAGAACAAACCGTTTCAGAGATACTTTTATCATGGCCTCCGCCATAAACTATGGTCGTTAGACTTGGTGAATTTTTATCGGTATCTTAATAGTTAATGGGAACTTTTAAATATAGATTTTCAAATAGTTATATATAGATTGTTTGTAATGTCTGTTATGTGTTTTCATTTTAGATTAGCTTGTAAATACGCAATTCAGTTTTCGAGCTGCCCATGTATTTTACAATTTTACAATTACAATAACAATTACAATTACAATTACAAGTTCAGGCAGTTACAATCAGCGCAGACACGAACGGGAGTATTGTCCACTACGAGAGCAAGAAAGAAACATGTCTCAAACAGACTATGACAGCGAAGGTGGAGATTTCCAAGAGGATGTCTCGACCACTTCCAGTCAGCAGTCTGAAAGTTCGGCGACGACGACTGACTCAGAATCTGAAGAAAAAATGGACCCATGGATGCCGCTTATAGAAGAAGCAATGCAAAGAAGTAATAGAGCTTTCGAAGAAATGCAAGAAAGCCTTGTAAACAGTGGTTTTGATGAGCACTCTGCCAAAGGGAAAGCTTTCTCGAACATCATGCCTAACCTTCAGAAAGAATTAGAAAATATTTATATGGAGCGCCTTTTGTGGATGAGACAACTAAAGAAAGACCCGATACATAAGAAAATAATGAACACAAAAGATGCATTTAATTTGTTGAAAACGATGATTTTGATCCAGAAGAAGCAATAGAAGCTGCTATTGATAAGAGAAAGTTTCTTAACAAAAGACTTTTGAACGAATACATGTTTGAAGATGAATAGTAAAATAAAGAAAGCGATTTAAAAGGTTTACTCATAGAGCGTTTGTTGAAGAATCCATGGCAAACGAACAAAAAGCGATACGAAATGAGATTTTGATGTATTACAATTTATTGCTGTAATTAATCGTTAGATGAATAAATGTTAAAAACGCAAATCTATATCTGTTTTAATACAACTATTTCCGGCGTTCAATCCCCACATAGCAGTTTATCCCGTGCTGACACTTCGGTTTCGGGAGCTCTAATCTGTCACCCCATTGCCAAAAGTTACACGGATTTTTACGATCGCAGCAAACAAAGAACGGTCTTCCAAAGTTACGTTTACTTAGATCCTTCACAACTTTCATCTTGGTCGGCCTTTGGTGTGTGTCACACAGCGGATCATGGCCAGAAATTGCGGACATGGAATATGCAGATTGCCGTAGCAAATTTGCATATCTGTTCAAATATTATTCGTTTGCAGAACTATAAATTATATTGCGCATTCTTAAATTTTGCAAAATTTAAGAAAATCATTGCATCTTTGCTATTTGCCCTGGTTGTTTCTTGTAACTCGTGTCATATTGAAGATCCTGAGGTAATATTTTGCTGGCAAAGGTTTATGTCGGCTCTGCATTTTTATTTTATTTCTACGCTATTACGGTTTTCGTTTTATATGGTATTCAACGTGATAAATGACCAAAACTTTGTTTTGAAAATGCAGGACGAATACTGATAAAACATTTTGAAATACTGTATAAAAATATTAAGATTAACTTGCTCTGCAACGAGCAATTAAGGCAAATTATAATTGACCTACCTAAAGGTGTATTTTTAGCGTTTAGTACTGTGCACATTACAGTTTACTATAAACTCACGAAGCTTTATTTTGACACCATATGCAAATTTAGGCGGAAGTAGAATGTTAAATATGTCCGAATTTTCTGGCCATGGAATCGCGCCATTCGCCCTCTGCATCATCATAGCCGTATCAAAGAGCGAATGAACTTGTTCAGGGCAAAATAATTCACAACATTTAGGGTTGTTCTTGTTACAAACCCAAAACTTTCCTCTCTTGGTAAAGATTGCGGTCGCAGGCACTCCATGTAAGCACTCCATTGCTGTGTTTTCTTGGGCAATTTCTGTTCGATGTGCGATATTTATGTGCAAGCTACTCTTTGTTTGGAGGGGAACATGTTCAGGTTCGTCCTGTCATTAAAACCTATTACCAGTAAGGTATGCATAAACGCGTTTGGACAAAGTCATCAACTGACAATGTTTGTCGCTGTTTCTTGCGTACATAATGCGTTTGATGTATGTAGTGTTTATGGGCAGGGGTATTGTGTAGAGTGAAAACAAAATTTTAGTGTGAATCGGAAAAGATAATTTTGATTAATATAGTTTAGGTACTTTACGACTGTTAAATAGATGGTAATTCATGATACGATTAACTATTGTTCTATAATCACTTAAACTTGCGGTTTGTTGTATTTTGATGAAATGTGCAATCATCAATAAGTAGAAATTAATGTTTGAGGGAAATATGAACGAGTCTAGCAGAAACATCTGATCACGTCTCAGCATACAGTCGGTGACTTCTATCCACCAGTCATTATCATAGATCGTACACCATGCGTCCGGAGTGTGCACATTTAAATACTCGATTGGTTTTTTGACGTTCATATGGTAACCGTATTTCTTGTGTCGCATAGGTGGTTTGTTTGAATAAACACGAAACACTTTACTTTTCCCTTCGAAGTTATGATTGCGTTTTGTGCGGAATCCAACTTTGAAACATGAGGATAAGAAACATTTTGTTAACAGTGTCTTTAGATTTATTTCATCCTCTATCAGAAACTCAGTCACCCACATTAGCTTTTCAGTTATTTGTCTTTCAGTGTCGAAGTCATTCCGAGTCTCCGATAACGTTAAGAGTACAGTTTTAATGGCAAAGCCTTTAAGAGTCTGCACACGTTCCATCATCACCCAAAGGTTATGTATAACTGAACCGCGCGAGTATAGGCTAACATTTTTTTAATCCCAACTCGATCTGTGTTTTCTCGGGCAATTTTTGTTCGATGTGCGATATTTATGTGCAAGCTACTCTTTTTTTGGAGGGGAACATGTTCAGGTTCGTCCTGTCATTAAAACCTATTACCAGTAATGTATGCATAAACGCGTTTGAACAAAGTCACCAACTGACAATGTGTGTAAACAAATGCTTGTGCGCACATCATCACGCGTGGGAGTAGCGCACACCGTAGCGCTCACAAATTACCTTTTGTAAACAATATGTTTGATACGAGAAGGATCTCCTCGCAAACCTGAACATTCCCTCCTTCAATTGGAGTGTTTTGGATGCCCGAAAGCGCAAATACTGATAAAAAATCTAGTATGGCTGGAGACCTGCGGGAAGCATTTGGCAGCCGACGCATATCAAAATTGTCCTAAAGTTGAAGTAGAAGCGTACGGGTTATGGCTGGAGAGACAAATGTAATCACAAGCAAAAATAAAAAACCTGTTCCCTACAGATTATTTAAGAAATGAACTCTTAAAATGAACGAACAGTCCTAGTAGGATTGAAAGAAACATTCTCATAATATCACGTAGTAAAATAAACAGTCCTAATGCTATGGAAAGAAACATACTATTAAAATGTTGACATACTAAATGTGTATAACCTGATAAATAAAATATTTTTCTCGCAAATCCTTACTGTGTACTTAATTACGGTTTAATTAAAACGTCACACTCTCACCCTGCGTGGAGACCACGCACATCTTCGGGAAAATCCGACAGTTTTCGACGGCCCGCGTGGGGATCACGCGTTGCGTGATTTTTCCGCTATATGGGGGGGGGGTTACCTACTTGTTTGGTCTTTTTTTCGTATTAAATAAATAATATTTATCAAAATATATTAAAGAAATTAGCCTTTTCGCGAAATTCCAATAACTAATAAAAAGGGAAAAAACGCGAGATTTGTTCTCAACTTTCATCTCAGGCGAAGTATTCGCGCCTCATTTTAATTAATTAAGTTTAGTTAATATTTAGACTTATAGATTTATCAATTCAACAACTTTGAAACAAATGCGGGCAAAAAATATTAATGCAAAATAAAAGTTAGGAAGTAAATTCAGTGAAAATGTGTACTATATGTTTTGAAATTAAATAAAAAACAAAAAGGGCTTGCATTACTTACAAAGCAAAGCATCAATTCCCCTGAGTTAGCCCTTTAGGTTTTGTTAGAGTTCACTGTACTTATCCGACGAAGCAATACATGCGTGTTTAAGAATTTAGACCCGGAATTGTAAATTGATAATTTACCTGTGTGTCTCAGCAAATTCTGACATAGTTAACCCTTCGAAGTCATCATTTAGGTCTCCATTATAGTTTCCACACAGTCCTTCGCTATGCCTATGCTTGTCCTCAGGCCTCTTCGCGTAAGAGTAAGGTTCAGGAGCCTTGATTATTATATCAAAAGACCGCAATCTTCGTTTAATAGTGACAGTGATTCCTGAAGGCATATGCACCTTGAAATCAATTAAAAAACTATATTGGTTAAACTATACAATTTTAAGCGCACAATTTACCCACTAGTGCGTCATTGAATCTTTGTATGCCCTGCTACACAATGCAATTTTTCTTGCAACTTACACTGCCATGCTGCTTTTATGGTATGTAAATTAGTGAAATATTGCTTAATTTTCGTTGAAGAATATATTAACACTAAAGTCTACAGGTTATACCAAAATAACGTTTTCGGGCACACGTCCGTTCTAGTATGACTGGTATTGAGCGAAGCGATGAAACTTACGTTCGTACGAAAAATTCATAATCATGAAATTTACTTGTGCACTTTAAACAGCTGTAACAAAATTATTATTTCCGCATGCAAACATAACTGGGCACCACATAGCGCCAGCATGTATTACATTTGACATAGCTATACATACCTATACATAGCTATTATTACTACTATTTAGCACTATGGCCAAACATACTCTGATCGAATATAGCTAAACTTACGATATTTTCTTGACCTATAGTCAATTCGTCTGATGTTCTTTCAACATAAAATCCATTTTTCGGCATATCTGGATGGTGTGAAGATCGTATATTAGGCAGAGTTTGATGACGACTTGAACACAATTCCACAATTTTAAAATAATATCCTTCTTTAATAGCGACACCACAGTTGCAACAGGTATCTAATCTTGCTTGTACCTAAATAAAAGAAGGTACTTGCTTAAGGATTTAATGGTCTTAATTTCGAGTGAAAGCCATGCACAACACAAATCCAAACAAAAGCGTAGGTCGATTCCTGCCAGAGGACCGATAGGCCACACTGTTAATTTTGAAGTGTTAAAAAAGCACCACCCTGGGTGCCAAATCAACACCATGCAGTGGTGTTAAATAGAAAGTGCTATTTTGGCACCAACTTCGGTGCTAATTTAACACCACCAAATCTGGGGTTACGCTAAAAGTGCCAATATGACACCATATTACCAGCACCATTGCAAGGTGCCAAAATAACACCTCTTTTGCCGACGGAAAGTGTTAAAATAACGCCATATAGGGAGTTAAATATGGGGTGTCAAAATAACACCAAATGGCGGATAGGCCCGGAAAGAGCACGTTTAATTTTGTTTAAGTTATTGGAAAATAAATTTGTATTTTCGAATGAGATGATTTTGGAACAAAGAATTCCCGTGCGTTTTCGCACAACTATTCATCTAAAAGACGACATGGAGATTCGGCTTGTTTCTATGAATACGTCAGATACGTTTCTATATAAAAAAAAACCCGAAATACATCGATAGTGATCCATTGTCCTTTTTATTTTATCAAACTATGCTATTTTGTTCTATGTATCGATTGCTACAAAGTAAATATTTCGCAATCGCGTATAGGCAATTTTAGGCATACTATGTATGTCCATATAAGGAACGAAATATGACACGTGTCGGCGCTTGTATGCAAATTTTTTGAGCGCGTCGTTTGAAAACTCTTCTGAATCGTATATTCAATATTCATCGAGATGTTTATGCTGCTGTGTTAAAGACGTTTTGAGCGTATTTACTCAACTATTATGGTACTTCTAATAGTGTTTGAATTTGATCAAATACAGACATATACAGTATCCATGTTCGCTCAAAGTCAAACGGCCAAATCGCTAAACAAACAAATGTGTGCTATTTTTTTATTCTAGAGAAGCCAAATGACGTATTCTACTTTACTGCGATCTCTTCAGCAAGCTGTGGTCTAAGAAAATATCATTGCAATAATAGGTATCTATTCATATTTACTTTACCGTAATTTTATAATGCGTCTTCGCTTGTCTCTTACATTAATACATTATTGACATAATTTAGCGATATTTTATCCTATATCAACGATTGTCCGTGCTTTATTTTAATATATTAACAATATTCCTTGCTCTATTTTGATAAATTTGATGTTAGTGGGCAAGTTATTTGTTTAAAATCAATGCCTGTGTATGTCTTTTGATAAAACTATTACTGTAAGAAATATAATCTCCTACAGGTAACCTGAGAGTCCCATTTTAGCCTGTCATTTTTCAAATTCACATTTATATTTTAGTCAAATAACAAATTATGTTTCCATAATTTAGTAAAATAATTTTCTGTTGCAAGTAAGGTTTGCAACTGAACACATTCTATTATTTTGTTGCAGGTAAAGCCAGAATTTGGAAGTGAAATGTGTAAGAACAAATTGGTCCATGGTATGGCTGGCAAATTTTAATCAGGAATGCCAAAAATTGTGCCAAGAGGTATGTATTGGTTCTTTCAAACAGGATAGAAACAAGAAACAAGATTAGCTGCACAGAGATCAGGTAAATCATGCAATTAATATACTATAATTTTCCCAAGGACAAAATTAGAATGTCACCTGTAGTTTATTGCCCCACAATCTGCAATTTAGACTGTCTTTATCCAATGCTTAGTGTGCCTATTATAGTTTTGGTAACCTAACTAGATTTTCTGCTATTGATATTTGATAAACAATTTGTTTTTCAAAACAGACATTCAGAGCACAGCTGGTGGTTGCTTTAGGTCTAACTGAAGGAGAATCTCTCCTCTTTATGTTAAGAAACCTTGTGGGCTGATTTGACTTTAATGATTATTAATAAATTTATCTTAGGTTGATTACTCCATATACAGATGAGGACATACAAATAATAAAAAATGGCCATGGAAGAACATGCTGGGAAGTGAGTTTCTGTCGATAAATTTATATGAACTTGACATTGCTTGTCGAAAATTGTAATGTTGCATTACAAGAACTTGACATTGATTGTCGAAAATTGTAAATATTTGTCTAGTTGTTTTTGTATATACTCCTGCAGGAGCAATTGTAAATATGCAACTGTGACCAAATATATTGATTTTTTGTTTCCCTGTATAAGTGTCATTAATTTTGATTTAGATATTATTACTGATGTAAGAACTGCACATCAAATTGCAGTTGGTAAAAAGGTGCTGCTTTAACACCAAATGTGGTGCTATTTAAACACCCAAAGGTGTTTTATTCTGACACCAGAATAGGTGTTAATTTAGCACCAGGGGTTGGAGTTGATTTAGCACTCAGGTCATGGTGTTAATATAGCACCTCGACAGGTGTTATTTTTGCCATATTCATTTAACACCTTTTTTGCTAAATTGACACCTTCAAATTAACAGTGCAGAAGACCGCTGTTCCAGGCTTGAGTTTGAAGTGTGTATAATCTCACTCGTAATTAAGACCATTTGAATGTCCATATATTTGTTTACGTTTGCAAAACATGTATTTTCTACAACAAATTAATCCGTTTTCTCAATAAATCACCTTTGGCTTAGTAATTATCACCTCAGGATCGGTGAATATTTCTTGACTTCGTCTCAGTTTTTGTTCAACAATATATTCACCTCGCCTTCGGCGAATAATTGTTAAATATTCTAACGCCGTAACAGTCACAAATTATCCATAAATATGACGCTATTACCGTTGTATTAGTAGCAATGGCAATCTAATATGGTGATTTTATTGCCGACTTTTACCTATTCACGGATTTTACCGAAAACAATACTTCGGTTACGTTTCCTTAAAGAAAAATGGGAAATTTGAACAAGTTCAATAAATTCTATTATATTATACATTTTGAAAAATTATATTATATTATAAATTAATAAATTAATTATATGATATATTTGGCGTAACCAAACTTGTTTTCAAGTAAAATGTCAGCCATATTGAATCGCCATTTTGCTCTAAAAGAATGTGAATATTATTAACTTTCAACACTATGTATAATAAAAAGATAAAAGAATGTTGTTACGAACAAAAAATGAGAACAGTGTGGGGCATTTTTAAACTTTTAGTGAACTATAGTAGTTTAAACTTAACAAAGAAGATCAACATTATCCTACTTCTTAATAATAACTTATCTGGTCTTATCTGAGTAATATATTTCGATAGGTTGACTGGTCACATAAAAAGCGAAGAGCTTGAGACAAGTTTGAGCCTTCTTGTATCTCTTTAGTATTTCTTTTCACAGTGATGTGATTTAGCCTTCTTGTTCCTCTTAATTTTGGGTCGGGGTAAAGGCCCTGGGATCGGCCAGCTGCTTCTGACTTCTGATTAGTTGAATTTTTTCCTAATTTATTTGTAATTAGCGTAATATTTTATAATTATTACGAAACAGTACAATTCCAATATGCGTTAATGCGACAATATTATCCGCTCTACGTTGCGCCGCCATTTTAAAAATATTACGCTAAATTTTATAATAAATAATGCTTATTAAAATGCCCACGAAATTTGGGTATTTTGAACGGCCGATCCCAGGACCTCTCCTCGTCTTTCCTCTGTCCCCCTGCCCAATCCCCCCCCCATTATAAAGTCCCAAATGGCCCTAGGGATGAGGGCTGAATAATGCCTCCATCGTCTAGTTGTGCTAGGACTTTTATACTCTTGCTAGAAGAAGAAACTATAACACTATGGCATATTTCCCCTAATCAAGTTACAGCGTGATGAAGCGAGTAAACAACAACGAATCGGTTCGCCCCAAACCAAGCTATGTGCGTTACGTTGTTTGTTTCGTTCTCCGCAACTACTTCCTTGAGTACTCATGCATGTTAGGTAGACTAAGGTTACTATATATTTTGACATGATTATTGAGTGAGATTATTCATGTAACAAATATAAAAAAGAACTGAAAGATATAAAGGGATTAAAAATACTACTAGTAGTTTCGTCCTTCGGAACTCTTCGACAAATCACCATGTTCTTCTTGAAATATTCAAAACTTCATAATAATATTCAACTCCTATTCAAGACACATAAAACATTATGTGGAATTTTCATGTAATTCCATTCATCCTTTGTGTTTATTAGTTCTCTTATTTTTCTCTATTCTATTGTGTACCGCTTCCGTGATCTGTCTCAGTATCGAATCATCATGAAATATAGCGGTAACGTTCATGACAACGGGTGATACAACACCTCCATGCTTCTCTTGACTTTTGCATTACAGACTGTTCTTCCCGACGATTCAACGAATGTAAATGTTCACCACGAGTATATAAAATTTTCGAGGTTTCGCTTACCTTGGCGTTTCTGGTATAAAATATAAGACTGTCGTACCCTCTCTTCTCACACCAAGTATTTCGTTTCTTGGGCTTTCTTTTGGCTGGATCAACTTGTCACCACTGTCCAGTTCTGTGCATGGGCTTCTTCCCACAGGCGTCTAACTTCTTGATTTATCATATGCTGTTAAGGCTGACTATACTATACTTGCATTCTAAATTTTGAATCATGCTAGAACATTACCAGAAATTCAGGACATTAATTACTATAATGCCAGGATTTCGAAATCAAAGATGGCTGCCTTGTTGTTATAATAGAATTATACTAGGAATACATGCATGCAGCAACCCCTCGCCATTTCAACCGAAGCATTTTTTTTCCTGAGATAGGCAGACCTCAATATAATAGCTGATGTTTCACATTTTTCGGAAACAAACACGGTCGTAAAGGTGAAATGAAATCACCGTTTACCTGTTGCATTACGTTGCATGAAGTTACAGTCATATAGACTTATAGTTAATACTTCACTGTAGCTAAACCTTCAAAACAGCAAAAATAATTTAAATCCCAAACACAAAACGTCGAATTTTGTTTTTTCGATTATTGAAATCATGCAGTGATTGCAGGCGACTCTATAA